GTCCGGCCCACACTGCGCCTGGGCTGGGACTGGTCCCGCCGGCGCAGGGTAGCAGGAAGCTCTCCACACACTCACCGGACCTGGGCTAGGACTGGGTCTCTGCAGGGTGTCTTAGAATTGTTATTGTTTCTAATATTATTTGATCAATGGAGCTGTCCTTTTCCTTCAAAAAACCCACCATAGCTTTTATAAAGTTTGGGTATTCAGCTCGAGTGTAATTATCTGCATCTTGCAGAGGATAACTACAATGATTTACCTAAAGTCACATGGACAACCAATGACAAGCTCCCGGCCAGGACCAGGGTTCTTGTTCACAAATTCAGTGTTCCTTCTATTAACAGCATTCACTGTTACCAAATGAAAAACAAAGTTCAAATAGCTTCTGAAATGCCACCTTTCATTTACAAATAACTATAAATTACTTATCAGAATATGCTATAAACATAAAAAATTATATGCTTGAACAATGTATAAATAAAAGATTTTCTAATTGTTCTCTTCTACTGGTGGTAATTATCAATATGGTATTATTACTTTTAACAGGCAAAAATGTAAAAGTCCTCTATAATGTAGCAAACAAAAGCTTTCAAAATTCAGAGAAAATCTTCAAAAAAGATGATTGCATAGTTTTAATAGTAGAAATGATTTCAATGCATTTTTACCAATTTAAAAGAAGAGGATTCACTTTAATGACTTAAATTCTTCAATACTCAACTTCATTTCAATCTTTTCTATACTTGGACAATATGATTATCCTATTTGTACATGGTTTCCTATTCCTATAACACAATTTGGTTACAAAGTAGGTCTTTTTGTTGTTGTTGTTGTTGATGATGATGTTGTTTTAGGATCTCACTATGTACTTCAGCCTGGCCTTGAACTCACTATGTAGATTAGGCTAACCATAAACTCATAGTGATCCTCCTATCTCAACCTCCAGTGCTGGGATTACAGGTACACACTAACACACCTGGCAAAATGGGGTGTTACTATGTATACTAATATATACCAGTGTATTACTCCTGGTCCAACTATTGATTATAACTGCAATGAAAGTCCATTACGTGAGTCTATATATCAGGTTAATCTTGCTCTATCCTAACATTGATACTAAGAAGGTCTATAGAGTACAGATATTCCAAGACAGGATATTCAGAACCTCGCCACTAAAATTGCCCATATGGTTATATATACACACATACAGAAAAGACAGTCCTAATTTCTAATTAAATTGTAATATATAAAATCAACTTAATGAGCTTAAAACAGAATTTTTATAAAAATAAAAGAGAATGGACTAGAATGAAATAGAATGAATATATTAATGTACATTACACTTAAGAATCCTCTTGTGAACATTGTTGTAGGTGCATGTTAAAGAAACACTTGTCTTAAAGAATGCCCTCCTTCACCATGAGTTCAAGGCCAGCCTAGGCTACATAGTGAGTTCAAGATCAACCTAAACTACATAGCAAGCCTGTCTCAAAAAGAGGGATGAAAGAGAAGGGTAAAGGGAGAAGAAAGAGGAAGAAGATGACAAAGAGTAGTGAGAGATCCTAAGGCAGAAAAGGAAACCTCAGATAAACAGATATGTTTACACAGCTCTGAAACAACATGAAATAGGAAAATGTAGGTTTTTACCCTGATTCACTGAATATAGCCAAGAAAAAAACGAGTCATAAGACACTTGGAAGGAATTGTGCTTCAACTTTGTTAGACAGAAGGTCATAGAGCCCCAGACTACCAGAACTCTGGTTACATGTCCTAGTAGATGATCTAGAAAGGAATATGGTCATAATGTGGGCTCATCAAAGGTAGAAAAGGTGTTACTACAGAGGAAGCTCCCTCATTAACAACTCTAGTGTATATGATTTAGAAATGTCTGCTGTGGCCCATTGTGGCTTCCAAACTTGAGGCTATCTGGAGAGACAGACCAATCAAGCCTCATGTTGTTTTTGAAAGAGAATCAGCTGAACCTGTTCTCTTCGTTAATAACTTGCTGTATGTGCCACCCATCACACAATCCAAATGAAGAACAGAATCGCCAATGCTTTTTCTAGATAAGCTTTGCAAATAAGCAAAGTCTCTGCCAGTTTCCACTTTGGCCTTAATGGGAAGCTCAGCTTGCCTTCATTCTTAATTATATTCATGTTCAGTTTCCCCCAGCCCTCTCCTAAGGCAGCGCTTTCATCTAGTTATTTAATCACCAACTAAATGAATTGCTAATCCTCATTTACATGACAAATTGCTAAAAATATGACACTTCCTCTCCAAGAGATATGTGCAGATTCATAAGTCTCTAAAATTAGGATTTTGAGTAGGTATGTCAAAAAGCAAGAGAAGAACAATTGGGGGTTACCTAGTGCAATTGATGTCTATGGCATCCATTCATAAACATAGCTGTGTAATGAGAAATAATTTTCCTTAAGATTATAATTCTTGACTGATTCCAAGAGTTGTATCTTACTGTTGCTATCTAGAAATTTAAGCAGGTGCTTTCATGGCGTGCTCATTCTTCAGAAATTGTCCAAGTGACCTATGTGGAAGAGAAGCAGATGGTGCTTACTGCCTCTGTCGATGGCTCAGTCAGGTAACCCAGGATAGTTTCTTACTGTGAACTCAGATTCTCAGTTATGACAGGTAACAAGCTTCTATGCTAAAGCTGAAGTCGTTGGTTAAAATGCAATCTTGGTGAGCTGATTTTTAAGAAATGACTTAAAAGTGGCATAGGGCAATACTATGAGAAATACATCATTAGTTTGGAGGGTTTTTTCATAAATCCAAGGAAATAAGACATCATGTTCCTTAATGCTAAAAAGCTGTGATAAATATTTTCAATAGAAGTGGTTTTCAAGGGACCAGGAATATAACTCGGTGGTCTAGGAGCCTGCCTGGCAAGCACAAGGACCCAGGTTCAATCCCTGGTATCACATGCCATGCTGGCCCTGTGCCATGAAACTGGGTGTGGTGGCACACGCCTGTAATCCCAGAGCTGGGGCAGCTGAGACAAGAGGATTCATTACAAGTCTGAGCTGCATAGCAAGACCCTGCACCAAATAAAAATATAGAGAAGTTTTTTTAAAAAATATATTTAGGGGCTGGAGAGATGGCTCAGTGGTCTAAAGCACCTACTTGGAACAAGCTTAGCAAAGCATCAGGGACCGCGGTTCGATCCCCCAGCACCACATGCCA